TTTTCTTTTTCCTTTTTGGTTACTAAGGATCAAACTAGGGGCCCTGCACTTGCGAGGCAGATATTGCAACCAGCCATCTAAATTCTCAGACCCTGAAGCTTTATTTCTTAATAAAACTCATAGGAAAATTACAATACTGAAACCATACTTCTGATTGAACCTTTATGCATTTCCATTGTCTGATCCTCTGAAATCCTTTCATCCTTACTACTGAGCTCACCAAACAGCTCTTGGTTATCTTTCTTCAGATGCCTGGACCTCAGAACTGTGGTCCAACTCTACTCTAACACATCTAAGATCTTCCCAGGTTCATGTTAAGATGCTGAGATGGGTGTCTCCTAAGTGTGTTACTTCTATCTGCCCTGTAGAGAATACTGATTTCCAGTGAAATGTAATGCAGGCCTAAAGAAGTTGCTAAAATTCACATGGCAAGTAACAGATACTCAGGAAACACTCTCATTTCCTTGCTTTCCTCAACTAGAGGATTTAGCATCATTACCATTTAAGATGAAGAACTTCCTTACAATTAGTTTTTGAAAACTTCTAAACAGTTTTTTTTTTATGGAGTTTCCAGCACAGGACGAAGAGTACATGTAATATTAAAATTGAAGAATTTCACCAAAATGTGAACTCTACAGATGTAGACCAGGTAGAGTAGAAGTTTAAATGATTATCCAGAGGATGAGTTAAGTTTCACTTTCAGAGGAGAGCAACTGTCCCCAGACATTCAGAGCCTCCTTCAGTTAAGGTGGACACAGTATTACCAAGATTTCTGTGAATCATAACATAGGATCCTAGGGCTTTGGGGAAAAATATAGAAAGATAGCAAAGAAGTGACCCTGAATTTGAGGGTTCTCAGCCCATCACTGTGTCATAGCCTCAGTTGACCAATGTCAGGAGGTTGTGAAGATGAAAACCCAGACCAAATGTGGATTACGAGCAAGACGAAAAGGAAGGATTCTCCACACAGCCGGGCTGAGACAGCATCGTCTATCTGTGACTCTGCAGGGCCTGAGGATCCCAGCCCAGTCGCACTTCTCTTGATTTTGATATTAAATGCAAGTCACTTCAGTTCTCCTTCATCAGAATGACAACTGCATTATTTTCCCACTTAAAATATTAGTTGTATTTGTGACTAATCTGTGCATGTGTGGTTAATCAGTCATGGCTGTTTCTAAATTTTAGATATTTCCCAGTGCTTTCATTCTCAAATGCACTTTTTCATATCTCAATTCAGTGTTTTTAAAAAGGAGTCAAATAAAAATTGATGTTTATTCAATACAACATTTTTAAAGGCATCATTAGTTTTCCAGTGCATTTGAAATTTGTTGAATTCACATCAAGACTTGTAATAGCGGACGAAGCAACAAAACTGACCTGCTGAGAATCATAGCATTGCTTAGTAGAATACGTCAATGGGTTCATGCTTCACCTTTCCACGCGGGCCTCCATGTTTCAGTTCTTGTGTGATATCGACTTGCTTAGTAAAATAGACATTTACATTACTTTAGTGCACGCATTCATGTTTCACTTCCTGACTTTCACATGTAAGTGTTTGGAGATGAAAAGATGAAACCAAATGCTTTATACTTCTTCAGAGTCACATTCTAATGGAATTACACTCAGGCACACCTCGCTGTGCCTCAGTTACCCCACCTGCTCACAGGTCCTGCTGCCTGGGGAGCATGGTAGGTGTTAAAATGTGTGCTGTCAGGATGGGGGTAAATGCACATGAATTCCCTCTCCTTCAGGAAGCAGAGCGGACTGACA